ACGAGTGCCCATATATTAATATTCATAGTAATGAGACCTTCAAAAATATGTATTTATTTATAGTAACTAAATATATATATATATTTATTTTTTTGAAGGACTCTGAATATTCACTTGAAGCTTTATAATGTAGTTTTCCTGTGTCTCTAGTAGTCAGTAGTCATTAGTAGTGGTGAGTAGTCACATGGCATCTATGATTTATATGGTTCAATTAACCATGTGCAAGAGATGACAGATTTCTAAGCGCCAGCCAAACGAGTGCCTTTAATATGAATGTGAACGCTAATGGGTGGTTTTAGTCCAGTTATTATATTGACCTCCTTGCTGGAAATGGATTGTCAGGTAGAGCACATTGCATTGTGGGATACGGTACCCAGTTCAGAATGCTCTTCTAACTGCACATTTTAGCAATGAAGTAAGTCGTCCATTTATTCTGTGCATGCAGAAAATTTGTATACTCCAATGTTCATGTATGCTATATTAAACATAACCAGTGAATACATACAAAGAAAGAAACTCCAGCCATGCAGGTCTATCAAGGCACTGCAGGCACCGACACCTTCCCTCAAAAGGAAATCAATGTACTACAATCTAAACAGTGACTAGAACTCAGCCAGACATAATCAATATCGACAATCAAATGCAGGGTTCATTTTCTCTGTGTCAACATAAGAAATATTTATTTTATCTTATAAGCGGTGACACTGACGTTATTAATAAGCTTTGCTAGCTAAATACTCATCTCGAATGACCTGTTATGGCCATTTTTCATCTATAAATAGCACATTCTTTTGGTTTGGGTAAATGATGATGATTTTAACAAGGTGGTTCTCCCATAATCATAGCTTGTTCAAGAAAAGAGATCGCCTAATTATTGCCCATGCCCATTCAAACAGACGTGCCCCCTCAGATTTTTAAGCAAAAAGGATTTTGAATGCAGCTTTAAAAATACAAAAATAATACTGGTAACACTTTAGATGAGGGAATACACTATTCATTATTAAGTTGCTTATTAACATACATATTACTAGCATATTGGCTGTTTATTAGTACTTATAAAGCACACATTAATGTCTTATTTTGCATGAGCATATTCTAAATCATTTAACCCCACCCAATACCTCAACATAACTACTACAAGTAAGTAGCAAATTAGTTTATTGAGGGAAAACGCTTAGTTAATAGTGAATATGTGTAATAATACTTACTTTATATATATTAAGAATTCCCATGACGTATAATTTGTTCAAAAGTTTTAGTAAATCATGGCCATGTTGTACTAATTTGTGATTTAATTCAAATGAGAGAGTTAATACAACGTGGCCATGATTTTGAGGGAATTAATTCTTATTTTGTGGCCACGGTGCATATCTTTTTGTACAGATGTCATGTGTGGGGCTGCTTAAATCAGTCCAAAAGTTTACTAAACATTAATTTTTAGATTCTTGTGAAAATGACTTTTAACGATCTGCCAAAATCTGCGCACATGTGTCTAGGTAATCTGTCTCAGGTGTGGCATATTTCTTTGAAGGACTGCAGTGGATAGCCTCTTATTTGCAAAACGCACTGTCAAACGCAGAGATAAGGTGCAGTTTTAACCTTGTGGTGTTCAGTGCTTATGTTATAAATTGATTGTTTCTGTAGACTACAGAATATCTGGAAGACTAAATCGATGCAGGACTTGATGCAGGGTCTAATATCCTTAATATTCTGGAATAGCGACAGTAAATGTGTTGATAATGTATGTTTTTTGCTTTGAATCATAAGTTAAAAAGTATATAATATGGTCTGAAGATATTGCAGCAGATATTACAGTGAAAGCTTAAATAAAGATTTAAATGATACTAGTTATTTTAATTTGGGGCTGTTATTTATTTACATTTTTTTCAACAGTTCTGCTGTTTTCCATACATTAAAACCCCGCTCTGCCAAATAAATAAATAAACAATGAAAGTTTGTTTCTGTTGTTCCAGTGGATTAGCATAACTGATCAAACTATTTATCTAATATAAAGAAAACTGTGGATTCATTAGCTTAACATTAGTCTACTATAAGTAGTTACTGGAATACACTGAAAATCATTAAATAAATCCACCAACTGGGCTATCATTGATCATTCCAGGTTTCCCACTGAAATGCTGTTGTTCTTGTGTGTGTTACTAGAAATTATGGCATTTCTGGAATACTGTAACAGAAGACAGGACATTTTAGAGAAAATAAGTCAAATTCAAGTTACACCTGCATTGGCATCACATCTCAATGTGGATGAATCATGTCTGCTGCTCAACTGAAACACCACAGCAAATCTTATTTAGCTCTTGTCTAGCCACTCAGCAAAACATGTAATATAAGCCTGCACCATATCTTTAATACGTTTTTAAATGCAAAAAACTTTTGTGACAGAATGGATATAAGAATATATTATCTCACTTTCAGTTACCAAAAGCCCAACTGGGATACAAAGTGTATAAATTATAGAGATATTGTGCATTGTTCTTTTTGTTTACTTGGCGAAGCCTTTGTTAGCGAGGACTGTGCACTGATATTAAAAAGATAAAAATAACTGGATGTATTCAAAAGCTTAGAGTTGGTTTTGCGTTTGTCTCCCTGATATATAAGACCACTGTGGGATTTGTTTATCACTAGAGGAACGAAATATCTTTTCACATCTCAGAAAATGTACACTAATAATAATAAGTGCATAGAGTGACTTAAAGGGATAGTTCACCCAAAAATGAAAATGTGATGTTTATCTGCTTACCCGCAGGGCATCCAAGATGTAGGTGACTTTGTTTTTTCAGTAGAACACAAATTACAGCCGTTGCAGTCTATCAGTCATATAATGCATGGCAATGATAACAAAATCTATGAGAGTAAAAAAAACATGCACAGACAAATCCAAATTAAACCCTGCGGCTCGTGGCGACACATTGATGTCCTAAGACACGAAACGATCGGTTTGTGCCAGAAACCGAACAGTATTTATATAATTTTTTACCTCTAATACACCACTATGTCCAACTGTCTTTGGGCGCGCGCACGGCATCCGGTGCGTGAGGTGTGTACGCGCTCTGGCGTAGTTTACACAAGCGCCTGAAGTGATCTCTCGCGCGTATACGTCACTCATTGTTTACACAGTGCACAAACATTGTAGGTACGACGGCTAATCAAAATGGTACTTACTTGC